GCACATATTAAAAAAACTAGCAACAACAAATGTAGGCAAGAATGTGGAGAAAAAGGAACCCTCCTGCACTGCTGGTAGGAGTGCAAAATGGTCCAACTACTATGGCAACCTGTATGGAGATTCCTCAAGCTACTAAAGATAGAGTTTCCATATGATCCAGCAATTCCACTCCTAGGTATTTACCCAAAGGACACAGAAACAGTAATTCAAAAAGGCACCTGCATGCCTATGTTTATAGCAGCACTATTTACAATAGCTAAACTATGGAAACAACCCAAATGCCCAAAAATAGATGACTGGATCAAGAAGATGTGGTATATATACACAATGGAATATTACTCAGCAATCAAAAAAATAAACTCATGCAATTTGCTGCATCATGGATGGAGCTGGAAGGGATCATGCTCAGCGACATAAGACAGAAAGAAAAAGAAAAATACCGGATGGTCTCACTCATAGCAGGAATTTAGAAAACCTAAATAAGGGACCAGGAAAAAGACTAATTATAATAAAGAAAAAATCAAAATCAACAAGCAACTATAAACCAGAGACACACTACGGGGGTGAGGGGGGAGGAGAGGAGGGATTAGGGTCAAAATAAGGGGGGTGCAATTGTATTGAGAATATAACCAAAATGAAAATGCATACATTGTGCAAAAAATGAAAAATTATGTAAGAATTATATAAAATATATTAAATAATGATAAAACCAAACCAATTAACAAACCCAAATCTGTCCATAAGGGGAACAGAATTAATACAGAAAGGCAGGGGAAGGGTAGAGAGCAAACTATGGAGGGGGCCCAGTGAATTATGGTGGAGAACTATGGGTGCTTTGTCAGTGGCTATAGTATGGTGACATACGTCTGAAGAGGTGTGATTCTATACCGCTGAATCATATACAGTGTTGTAAACCAATGTTACCTAATTTGAAAAAAATATAAGGTCTGGGCCTCCTCGGTGGTGCAGCGGTTGAGCGCTGGGCTGCGAAGCTGCTTGCAGCCTCTGCAGTACGGGCGGTTCCATCCCCCGCAGACCTGCGAGGGTCCTGCCGCCTTCGCTCCTCCCCTCAGCAGTGTATTTCGTCAGTCTGCCTTTTCTGTTTCCCGCTCTGGCTCTGGTGAATTCTCTCACCCTTCTGCGCTTCTGACTATACCCAGTGCTTGTATAAATAAATAAATTAATTAAAAAAATATATATATATAAGATCTTATAGATCACTGCAATAGCTAGCTTTTCTTGGAGGGAAATGGAGATCCACTGTAGGAGTTAAATGATTGGTTGACATTTTAAAAGCATCACTCTGAGGGCCATGTGAGAGTGGACTTGGTAAATACGGGTGGAACAGGGAGAAAACAAGGAAACAAAAAATACTGGGAAGGAATTGGACGGCCTTATAAAGATTGTGTCAATAATACGAGAGACATTGATAGCATATAGTGATATATCTGTTGAAAGGTTGAAAGGTTGAATAACTTCTCCTTTTGCTTAATACCACAGGAAGTTAGAAACTAAAATAATTTAAGGGAACCACAACAAGTGTATATATAATTTTATTTTTTTCTCCTTGCTTAACCTTGACTTATCTGAATAATTGGCCCAATTAGCCAATTTCTAAAAATATCTAGAATAGAATTTTAGTTGCAAATAAATAAAGTTCCTGCTGTAGGAATTAAGAAACTTTCTGTCTTTTGCAAACTCAGCAGTTTTTCTTCTAATCAGCAGTATATCATCCAGTAAAATTACACAAGATAAATATTTCCTGAATAATAATAATATTGGATATAAAATGACTAAATATAATTTAGAAGTTCCTGTTGGATATTCTAGCCCATTTTGGAATGAAGTCCAAGAAAAATATATTGGACAGGTCTTAACTTTTTTCCTTCTAAAAACAATTTAAACACAGAAAAATTATTAAACTATGTACAGAGAACTTTTCAATGTCATTTATATAATTTCACAATTTTTAACTTTGTTGTATTAGTTTTGTCATTCTCTCTCTCTAGATATAAGTTGCCCAAGGTCAGGAACTGTGCTCATAAAATTTTGTAATACCAGCACCCGTTAAGAGCTGTGCATATCGTAGGAGGCATTCAATACATACTACTGAAAAATAATTTTGACTTTAAATTTTATTGGTCACCAGAAGAATCTTAATATTAGTTTGGTGGATATAAACCTATTGTAGTGATAATATAGTCTCACGTAAGGGGAACCACCTTGCACAATAGTTTGAATGACTATTGAATTGGAGGACAGATTTCTAATACAGAATGCAGTAGCGTTCAATTCTACTTTGCTCCTAAAAAATGAGGAAATACTCACAATTGCAAGACTGGTCAAGTCTATAAACTGTCTCTGTCTTGTTCCTGTTTCCACTTAACATTCTATTGAAGTCAAAATACTTACACAAAAATACAACGGGGGCCTCCCCGGTGGCGCAGCGGTTGAGCGCTGGGTTGCGAAGATGCCTGCAGCCTCTGCAGCGCCGGTTTGATCCCTGCCTGCTCCCCGGCCACCGGAGGAGGGTCCCAGATGGCGCGCAGACCTCTCCTGCCGCCCGCTGCTCCCCTCAGCAGTGTACTTCGGTCCTTCTGCCTGCTCTGCTCCCCGCTCTGGCTCTGGTGAATTCTCTCACCCTCCCGCGCTTCTGACTGTACCCAGTGCTTGTATAAATAAATAAAAAAATAAATAAACCTTTAAAAAAAAATAAAATAAAAGGGCTACATCCTCAATGAACAAAACTCTTTCTATAAAAAAAAAAAAATACAACGGTAGCTAATATTTGTAGAGTTTAACAGTGATTTTCAAAGTATGGTCCAAAGACTCCTGGGGCTTCTGAAATACTTCGTGTTGATTCATAAGATTTTTTTTCCCTTTATACTACTACTACTACTCCTACTAATGTCATTATTTGCCTTTATCACTCTGATTCTCTTGTGAGTGGACAGCTGAGTTTTGAGATTACTTGATGGGTGATTTTGAGACAGATTAAGGAAGGAAAATGATGAGACTGAGCTGCCTCCTATTAAGATAGACAGTAAAGAAATTTATAAGAATATTAAACCACGCTGCTCTTCTATTTTCATGGGAAAATAGATAGCTATTATTCATAAAATGTTATTTATGTCAACATATAATGGGTTTCTTATTTTTAATGACTATTAAATTTTTTTTTCTAATGCAAGTATTGATAGGGATAACACACATGAACAAAAGTTGTTTGGACTCCTCATTAGTTTTTAAAAGTGTATGCAGGTGGGAATGTAAAATGGTCTAGCCACTATGGAAAACTGTTTGGCGGGTCCTCAAAACACTAAAAGTGGCTCTACCATTCGTACAAATCTACTCAAAGGACACAAAAACACTAATTTGAAAGGAAAACTACACTTCTAGGTTTAATGCAGCACAATTTACAATAGCTAAGATATGGAAACAATCTAAATGCCCCCAATCAGATGAGTGGATCAAAAAGATGTGGAATATATACACAGTGGAATACTACTCAGTTATCAAAGAAGATAAACTCAAGCCATTTATGGCAACATGGCTGGAGCTGGAAGGGGTAATGCTAAATGAAATAAGTCAGAAGAAAAAAAGATAAAAAACAGATGATTTCCATTATATACAAATATAGGTAAAACCAAACAAAGGGTCAGGGAAAAAACCAAGCTTGCAAGCTAACCGTAGATCTGAGGCAGACAAGGGATGGAGGTTTTTGGGAGAGGGGTAAAAACAGAGGAAGGAAGAGCTATGGGACAGTGATGGATCAGGGTGCTGTTGTGGTGGGAAAACTACAGGAGAGAAATTAACTACTGTCCAAAATTTAACAATGATGTAAGGAAAAAAAGTACTTACATTAAAAAAAAATTTTTTAAGAGAAGAAAAAATTTTAAGAGTGTTAATGGTCCTAAGACCAAAAAGTTTGAGAACCAGTGATTTGTGTTTTTGTACCTTATTTAATAATTAGCTCAGCTGGTTATTTTTTTATAAACAAATAATGATTAAAACTGGGGCTTAATTCACCAAATCTTAAAAATACGGTATTTGTTCCATATATATGTATTGATCATTTAACTTTTTTTTTTTTTACTTTGTTCTGAGAAAGTTCACTTAACTACTACTTCAGGTTACATGTGCCCCTCCCCCCCCAATAAAAAAAGCTTTGCACATAGCAATCTGTGATACAACTTGAAATTCTAGTCATCAGAGTTAAGGGGCATATATTATTGTCTAGAAAGAATACCATGCCAAGGGCCTACTAATAAATAGGAAGGAATTTTTTTTTAATCAGATTTTTCATTTAACAGAGAACAGGTACTAAAGGGAAAGAGAGACAGAAAAAGAGCACATTTTGACACTTGAGAAGCAAATCAGCAACGATCCCTCACGCTTCTGCAGGTAGATCCAGAGCGAAGTTGGTGTCCTTTAGGTCAGGTCTGTGTCCCTGCTACAGCATTTCCTACATTCCCTAGGAGGCCTAGCCTGCTTCCTCAGAAGAGGTGGAATAAAATCAGTATCCATCCCACAGGGTGTTTGTAAACAAGCACTGGGTCCTATGGAAAGTGCTAGCACAGTGCCACAAACACAACAATTTGTTGTCCTTAGGTTATTGAAGAGAGTGGGTCGTCTGAGGAGAAAACAACTGTTTTCCTTACTTCACAATTTAACCCAGAAATAGTTCTGTCGGCCTTTTAATGTTTCCATGATCCTAGCCTTTCTACAGCTTCACTAAGAAAATTCTTGAAGAGGAAATATTTATTTGAATGTGCTCTAGTGTCATAATCAAAACATTTTCATTCTATATTCATAGCGGGAGAGAGAATTTGTCCTAATCATCCCTTCAGAAATCAACATTCAGGGAACGTATTATCAGTAGCTTAATTTCCCCAATAGCACTAGCTTGCAAAGATAAACCTAAAAACCCAAAAGTGGAGGAAGTGGTGAGTTTTCTAAATTCAGAGACGCTTCAAAGTGAGGAAATAGGTAAAATTTACCAGAAGCCAGAAGCTAAACGCAGTTCGAAAGAAACAATTCACAACTCACTGGTTCAGTTTTCTTTTCACTGACTTTTTACCTAGCCAACAAGGTAAGCAGGCATCAACGAGATGGCACAATAAATCTCTCACAGACTCGTAAGCCCCTCCGTGTGTGCGCGTGCGCCTGCGCGTGTACATGCGTGTGTGTAAAACACCGGAAAACGCGGGAGCTTCTGGGAACAGGAGCTTTCCCGCCTAAACACCAGGGGGCGTGGCCTGGAGTCTGGGCGTGGCCCGAGGCCTGGGCGGGTTGCTTCCTGGGCGGGTGGCCCAGCCCCACTCTCTGCCCCTCCCACATACATTTCGCCACGATCCCGACAGGCCCAGCGGCTAGGAGAGTCACGTGAGGGTGGGCGGTGGAGGTGGAGGTTTGTCTCGGCTGTGTAATCCGTCTCGATGGTTGTCAGAAGTGGGCGGTTTTGAACGGGGCGCAGGAGCTTGATCGCGAACGGGTGAGTTCTGAGCTCTGACGGGTGTGCAGACACGGACAGCTAGGGAACGGGAAAGGGAGGTGAGGGCGAAACGGCTTTAGGGATGTGGCCGCCGGGCCCTCTGTTTGTCCGCCCCGGGATCCGGCGACTTCTCCGGCTCGGCGCATCTCTGCGTGGCTGGCGCGCCCAGCCCAGGGGCCTGAGACGAGCCCCGGCCCCGCCTGGCTCCCCGCGGCCGTCCCGGGAGAACTTTTCCCAGCACTGGGTTCCCAACCGCTGGGTCCACTTGGGCGGGCTCCTCGCGGGCGGTAGGGGGCACAGGTAGAGCCGTCTTCGCTGGGGTTTAGGGAGCCGGGTGGGAGGGTTTAGCGTTGGATCTCTAACGGGGAAGAGAATTAGTAGTTGAAACGACGAAAAGAAGCGGAGAATCAGTGGAGAGCCGAAAGAGCAAAAACAGAGTGCACACTTCTTGGACTGTTCGGCTTTTATCTTTTTCAGTACGGTCGGGTTCTTAGGAGCGCTCAGATTTTCTTCTTACCGCCCCCCTCTGTCCCACTGGACCATGTTTCGCGAATGCCGGGAGTTAACGCCAAGTGAATGTTAGGAGAAGAGTTTAAAAAGGCCTTTTTTTTTTTTTTTTTTTAATAAGTTGCTGTCTTGGGCTTCCCCTGGTGGCGCAGCGGTTGAGCGCTGGGCTGTGAGGCTGCTCGCAGCCTCTGCAGCGCCGGTTCGATCCCCGGCCGCCGGGCGAGGGTCCCACATAGCGCGCAGACCTCTCCTGCCGCCCGCTGCTCCCCTCAGCAGTGTACTTCGGTCCTTCTGCCTGCTCTGCTCCCCGCTCTGGCTCTGGTGAATTCTCTCACCCTCCCGTGCCTCTGACTGTACCCAGTGCTTGCATAAATAAATAAATAAAATCTTTAAAAAAAAAAAGTTAAAAAAAAAGTTGCTGTCTTTGTAGTCTTATGATTTATGGTTTCTTTACCTTCTCTTTTAGATGCCTAAAAGGTATTTTAGGTGTTTGTTAATATAAGTAAATAACCGTTTTATTGCTAAGAGACTAGAGCAAAGTATTTTATACTCCCTGTCTAGCCAGAAAGACCCATTTTCTTTGTTATTTTGTAAATAGATGTATCTCTTTCGGGTTTTTTTTTTTTTTTTGGTGGGGGGGGGAGGTTGGAATATACCTGTGTTTATTTTAAAGCATCGTGTTGGAACAGTTGTGAAAATAATGTAGCAATGCATGAGTTTCCAGATAAGGTAAAATAGGGGGATAGCTGGAGGAGAGTTCAGGTTTCATTGAACCACTTAACAAATTAATGTCAACATTTGAAATATAGTTGGGAGTTTGCCAGGATTACCAACCTGCTGTCTTTCTGGTGCGAACAAGATATTAACTTGTTGAATACCACCTTATCCTCAAAATGTCTTAGAACCTAGCGTCACTTGTCGGTAAGAAGGTAGCTCTGGTCTACGGCCACTTGATAGGTCCCTAATTATGCCTTGCATTTAAGGATATCATTCTGACTATCTAATTGTGTCAAGAAAGTGTCATTGACACCTCAAAGTGTTCTTACTGAGTTATAAAATACAATGGGATACTAACAAAAAAGAAGATTCAGAAGTGTGATCTTTGCTTAGGGAGAAAGAAAAAGTGAGAGACTTACAGCAGCTAGTAAAAGCAAGTGAACAAAATCGTGATTTGTTATCTTCCTTTATAATCTATAGAACATTTGCTATATGCAGTAGACTTTGTTCATCCCCAAGGGGTTCCTCTTAGATTGAATTTCCTATACTGTATTTAAGAATAAAGCAGTGGTATATGATCCAGCTCTACCACTCCTAGGTATTTATCCAGAGACTATGAAAACAGTAACAGGAAAAGATTTATGTACTTCCTATGTTTATTAGCATTATTATCCACGGTGCCCAAGGCATGGTATTAACCTAAATGTCTGTTGATAGATTGCTACATTAAGATGTTGTAGATGGTGGTGGATGCACTATGGTGGTAATATCTGATGGGGGTACCCCAAAATTATATCCATTAAAAGTAATTATAAAAAATGCTGTTTATTTTAAAAAAGAAATTGTGGAATATATATTCTCAATGGAATACTACTTAGTTATTAGAAAAGACGGCATAGTAACTTTTGAGACCATATTAATTATCAAGGTGATCATGCTAAGTGAAATAAGTCAGAAAGTGAAAAACAGCATTTTTAGTACAAAAAAATACAGGGATAGTATTTTTTAAATGTTTTGTATTTCCTAATATAAAAGTAATTTGTTCTTATTTTTGGAAAATGGACACAGAAAATATAACATTAAAAACAAAGTCCTAATGTATCTTGTCCCCTACCACCAGGTAACTACTGGCTCCCATTGCATATCTGAGGATCAGTGTGGGTGTGGAAAGGTAGTTAGGAGTCTGGAGTCAGACTCTTTGGGAAAGATGGTACTAGCAGAAGAGAAAAAACTTCCCTCTCTCTGGTATTCCAGCAAATTACTTTATGTGAGAATCAGTAGTCAGACTTAAGTCATTGTCCATTGTAGCCACATCTCTGGCTAGAGTGATGGAATATTTTGTGTGGCCAGGATTGGGTCATGTTACCATCCTGGAATGGGCAGAAAGGAATATGGTTTCAAGTCATGTGAATCAAGAGCAGGCGATGTATAGCTCTTAAAAGAAAATTAAGCTGTCATTTCCTGGAGAAGGGGGAAGGTTGATGGACAGGAGGAAAAATAGCTTTTTATTAAAATAATTTTACATGTGTTAATTTTTTTAATTAAGAACTTGCTTTCCTCAGTATAAATTAATGGTATTTTACAGTTTTTTTCCTTTTTATGGCTATCTTATTAACTAATGTTACTGAAATTTAATCTCTTTCAAAACATGTTTCTTGTCTTTTTATTATATGTATCATACACTTCTGGAGTAGGTATTCAGATTTTCTAACTACAAATACATATTTGTTAAAATTGATTGTTGATAAATATTGCTATAACTGAAGACTTGATTGACAAAATCCAGCTTACAAATAGTATATAAAATTTTTTTTTAAGATTTATTTTTTATTTATATAATAGCTGGGGTACAGGCCAGAGGTGCGGGAGGGTGAGAGGATACACCAGAGATAGAGTGGGGAGCTGAACAGGCAGATGGATAGAAAGCACTGCTGACGGGAGCAGCAAGCGCAACAGGAGAGGTCTGCCGCGCCATTTGGGAATCTCCCTGGCCGGCCGGGAATCGAACCCTTGCTGCAGAGGCTATGGACAGCGTCACAGCATTGCGCTCAACCCGCTGCGCCACTGGGAAGGCCTAAATAAAAATGTTTTAAATATTTAGATATATGTATTCAAAATGATTACATGTTTGAATCTTTAAGTTCCATATTTAAAAATCTGTGTAGAAATCTCTTCATTTTAAGCTTTATATGAAAAGTAAGTCTCTATAATTGTCATTAATTGCTGTCACTGGGTGTTAATTTAAAAAATGTAATTAGCATTAATGTCTGGTTTTGTATCTTTATAGACCATTCTGATCATTACATATTCAGAGAAAATGTAATTGAAGCAACATATGGTTTATTGCACTCTCTTGTTTTCAATTAAAAGGAATGTTAGTGACTCAATTCAGTGGGCATTTGAACTTTAATTGCTAACATTGGTGGCATAGGCTTTAGTTAAAACAGATATTTATATTCTAAAAACCACCATTCCATCATTTCTTGATGTTGAGCAAATTGTTTAATCTCTGAAACTGAGTTTATTCCATTTGCAAAATAGAAATGATAATTCCTACCTCATAGGGTCTTGTGACGATTAACTTAATTAACTTAAAATTAATTTACTTGATCTTGGGAGGATTAATAAGTATGTCAGGGGCTTGGAATGTGCTAGATTCTAATGAAATGTAACTAAATAATAACATGTATGAAAGAATTTTATTTTGCAATTTCAGAATGTAAACTCCAGGGAATTTAAGATATATAGTCTGAAGGATTAACTAGATTGTTCAGTTTGTCTTGATTTTTGCAGGTTTTAAAATTCCCTGTTGTATATATGACAATAAACTAGAAAACTTTTTTTTTTAAAGATTTTTTTTAATAGTCATGTTTTTTATTTATTTGTTTGTTTTTTGTTTATACATGCACTGGGTACAGTCAGAAGCGCGGGAGGGTGAGAGAATTCACCAGAGCCAGAGCAGGGAGCAGAGCAGGCAGAAGGACCGAAGTACACTGCTGAGGGGAGCAGCGGGCGGCAGGAGAGGTCTGCGCGCCATGTAGGACCCTCCTCTAGTGGCCGGGGAGCAACCAGGGAAAGAACCGGCGCTGCAGAGGCCGCGGGCAGCTTTGCAACCCAGTGCACAACCGCTGCGCCACCGGGGAGGCCCTAAACTAGAACACTTTGTTTGAACTACATAATTATTAGTGAAGTGCCCGTGTATTTAATGATTGCCTAAATCAACTATGATTATTATCAACCTCGGGGACAGTATTGAGAGAGTTTTATACAAACAGTAGATCAGTAAAGTTTAATGTTAAATGGAAGATAGCATGTTTCTTTACTATACAAGGCATTGAATACCTTGGAAATTCAGAATTTATGACGAATTTTGATAATAGGCAGAAGTGATAAAAATGGATTTGTTTTTATTTTTAAGAATAAATTCAGGGTAATACTTCTGTGAAGAAATAATTCTTTGAGAACATGATATGCTCGACACCTGCAGGTGGAAGAAATAACATTTTAGAATGTTACTTGAAAAACCCAAAAATGCAACAATGGAATTGAACAACTGTGAGAAGTAATTAATATTAAATATAATTAATGACTTGGAATTGGGAAGTTCTATATTGCTGCATTGGGAGGAGAGGTATATTAGTCCTGTTTCTGAGAAGAGAAATAGTGATTAATGAATTAGATTTCTCCCCCCAAAAACTAACAGTGATCATTTTTATGCAAATTGTAGATATTTCCTAGACTAGCTAATATTGAGTTCAAGGTGAGTTTTACTAACT